TTTATATGATCCTCACTTGTTTCATTTCTAACCAATGTAAAATTTCTCCACTACTCACACTTTGAATATCTCTACCAGTATACAATTGATTTAAAACTTAAACTAAAAAAATTATAAGGACCATTTATACCAATACAATAATCAAACGTTTTTTACTTTTATTATTATCAGTTAATACACAAAAGCAACGTTGACAAAACCCGTAACATTATTTAGCTTTCAAATAAATAAAAAATGTTAAATGATATTTCGTAAAAAATTAATTTAAAAAGGAAAAAAAGTTTTTAATAGTTATTTATTTATTTTTAAAAATGTTACCTAATTTTTAATCATAATTGGTTATTAAATATTTATAATATTTTTTGGAATAAAAATTGTTATACTAAATAACATTATTTGAAAGAAAAATGCTAGTAAACATTTTTTAATTTTTTATCATTTTTTAATTATTAAATAAATTTTATGTGAATCTTACTAGATTATTTGGACATTTTATCAATAAAACACACATGCAAATTTGGAAAATAATATTAAAAATATAAGAAAAGAGGTATGTTATCAACATTTATGAACTTGATCAAAAGGATAGCCTTGTGCATTGTATATAAAGAATTGACAACAAATAAATAGCCAATTAAGAGAGAATTAGTTATCCATTGACATAGTTTCCCCTTTGTAATGCATGGCTCCACCACCACCAGCCAACGAGTATACGACTGTTTGATAAAGACTACTTGTGGTCATCTATCTTCTGAGTCAATGGTCCATGGAAACTAAAAGTAGGGTTTTTCTTTGAAATTGAATTTACGATTAAGGTGAGAAATTAATGATATTCTCCTCGTAGTGGTGAAACGTGCAAATCGGCACGTATGCTGATTGGTTGGCTTCGTCATATTTGTCATGTGAGTGCATTAACTCTGCATATCACAAAGTTTTGTAAAGTTAATTTGTCATTAAAATAAGTAAATAAAGATACATTTATTATTAAATTTCAACAAAAAGTTATAATATATTAAGTAAATTGCAGTTTTGGAAATAATTACGGATTTATTGCACAATGTGACGTCTTTACATGTGACGCCTCAATTAGGCGTCTCTCACCAAAGGGAAGACGCTCCATCGGAGCGTCTCTCATGAGGTGTTGACACGTGTCATATTTTTTTTCCAAAAAAAAATTAATTTAATCATAAAACTCTTGAAGGCCATAACTTTTGACTCGGGTATCTAAATCAGGTAATTTTTTTTTTGATTCCACATAACTTTCTGAGATCTACGCAATGACATCTCATTTGATATATTTTATTTCTCACAAACACAATTTTAATTTGCAAGAATGGTATTATAAGAGCGGTTAAACCAAAAAGCATCTGAGTTCTGAGTTTGTAATTTAATTTTTTTTATAATAATATTTTTATTATTAAAAAAATTTGGTTTGTGATTTAAATTAAAAATAAAAACAAAAAACTATTATTAATAAGGAAAACAAAATAAAGATTTTATTTGTGATTTAAACTAAAAAATCAATTTGAAAAATCTGAATAAATAAAGAAAATAATTAAATAAATATTCTAAATCTCTAAGGAAGAAGATATTATTTTTGAAATTAATGATTAATGCTATAAGCTTCTGGTTTATTATTCGTGGTCTGAAATTAATGATGGCTTATGAATGTTTTTCAATTTAGACGTGATTGGTGACGTGTCACATTTTTAAACTCATAAGCCTCTGAGTTCTGCGTTTGTGATTTAATATAAAAAATAAATCAAGATTTGATGTGTGATTTAATTTAAAAAATAAAAATTTTTATTTTTATTATAAAAAAAATTTGGTTTGTGATTTAAATTAAAAGTAACAATTATTATTAATAAGGAAAACAAAATAAAGATTTGATTTGTGATTTAAACGCAAAAATCAATTTGAAAAATCTGTATTAATAAAGAAAATAATTAAATAAATATTCTAAATCTCTAAGGAAGAAGGATTACCTGATTTAAATTTAAATTATGTTTGTGAGAAATAAAATATATCAAATGAGATGTCATTGCGTAGATCTCGGAAAGTTATATGGAATCAAAAAAGGAATTACCTGAATTGGATACCCGAGTCAAAAGTTATGGACTTCAGAAGTTTTCTGATTAAATTATTATTATTTTTGGAAAAAAAAAATGACACGTGTCAATACCTCATGAGAGACGCCCCATTGGGGCGTCTTCCCTCAGGTGAGATATGCCTAAAAAAAATATCACATTATGCAATAGATTTGTAATTATTTCCAAAACTCTAATAAATACGTGATTATTTAATTAAAATACAATAATTAAATTTTTTTGCCCTTTTGAATTGTCTAAACCCTTAATTACTCCGACGAAAACCGGCACATGCGACCCTTCCCCTCTCCTTTTAATTTTGTACGTTGTTAGGTAACTGAAGTTAACCCATTTGTCGCGATGTTGATTTGGCGCTTTCATCTTAGTTGGATGATGGTTAAATTCTTCCCTCTTCTTGCAATTTGCAATTTTTTTCCAATCTTATTTTTCATTGTATCAAATGAATATCTCGTTTGTCATTAGCCAATAGCCATTGTCTAGACTCTAGAATTGATCAGAGATCTCTGAGTTCGAGTTGAAACTAAAAAGGTGATAAAACGGGTCCACTCCTTGAGTTTGTCCATGTAACTTGTTACAAATGATGGTGGGTTGGAATTTTCAACCCGCTAACCCATTAGAACTCATCTCGGGCTGAGTTAAAATAAGTTTTTTTTTTTTTTTTTTTTTTTGTAAAAGTGGAGGCCTTAGCCCAGAAATATTAAATTGAAAGCTGATGCATGTCAAAAGATACATACTCCATCAGCACGAAGTTACAAAAGTCTTTTCAAAAAAGAAAAATACTTACAGGAAAGAGGAATACACCTTCAACTCTCCACCCCTAAGTTAAAATAAGTTTAACCTGCTGTCTTTTATGTTTACGGGAGAGTATAATTTTTGAAAAAAATCCACTTTTCTAATATGTCAACGGCATGGTAGGGTGAGTTGAAGACGGGTTCGGATACGTTGAAAAATTTAACCCACTTTCCAAAACGAGCCAGAATGAATTGGGTCATTTTAAAATTGGTTGAAGACAAAACGAAATAAGCTTACAATTGGGTTCCATTAAAGTTTAGCACAAGATGCAACTAGAAATATTTCAGTTTAATCAATAATATTAAGTTCGAGTCCTAAATTATAACTATATTAAAAATTGATGGGAACAATTTGTAAGATCTTCAAGAATAGTTTACCTCATGCATTGTACTATTTAAGTTTTACCTATTACTTTATGGGTTATATTTATCTCATTTTATATGAGATAAATAATTTTCTTACACACACAAAAGAGTAATGGGTCTCACTACTCTTTTTTTCTCTCTCCTCTTACCTGTAGGTCCCACTTGTAATTTTATTTCTACAACATAAGATAACTATTTTCCTACAACATAAGAAAAGTATTTCCCTTACTTTATAGTAGTTTATCGGACAAATATTTAATACATATGTATTTGAATTAGTTATTTTTTACTATAGAAATATGATAAAATATTCTAAAAAATATTTTGAGACAAAATTTTTAAATACAGATAAATGAACATAAAGATATTTATAATATTCTAAAGTTTAATAACTTCAAAAAAAAATTATTTTTTTAATACAAAATAACTTCAAATTTTAATAATTATATAATTTGATTTTGTTTATTTATTTTTATTATAATACTTGGGGAAGTTTTTTTATCTAAATTTAAATATGAATAATTCATTACTTGCATATAATTTGTCTAAATAAAATAAAAGTATTTAATTTTATTTTGTGAAACCATGATAAAAAAAGTTATGACATAAAACAAGTAACATGGGCTTTGGACTGGGCTTTCTTAAAGTAGGTACTCCAATCCCAATAGAAACAAACACGGTCTTTCCACATGGGATAATCGTCCATGCTTATTAGCCCTTAACTTCTTCCACCTTGCCACCCAATACGAAAGTATGTTCCCACAAAAGTTACAATAAGAATCTTACTTATTGTTAAAAATTTTGGATACACCACTTCAAAAGCTAGCTCAAAAAGATAGGAGTTAGGGGTGCTAAACAGACCAGGGGCCTTTCAGAGGCTTTTGACTCGGCTCGTGAAGGTCTGAGCCCGTTTAATAAAAAGGCATCAAACATTATTAGTGTTGTTGATTGTATATTTTATTTGAATAAATTTGTGCGTCTTATTTTTTTTTAAACAGGCTAAATAAGGCTTTATTTTTTTAAAATAAGTCAGGTCACAGGCCCAATTTTTGGTTTACTTTTTGTGCTTTTTTATTTTTTATTCCACTTTAAGGCGAGGGGAGGTGAGGATCGAACTTGTGACCTTGTAGTCATTCAAGCTCTGATACTATGTTAAGAACCTTGGGATACACCACCTTAAAAGCTAGCTCAAAGGGTGGGAATGCCCAAGGCTTTATAAACTCCACATTAATTGCTCATACAACCAATGTGGAACTATATATCTCAACACTTACCGAGAAAGGGATTAATATTCCGAGCAATTCAATTTCCTCAAAAATCATACTCGGATTCCAAGAAAAAAAATTTGTGTTGCTATATTTTATATTTAGTATTGATATATCCGTAACTAAAGGTAGAATAACTGAACCTGAAATATAAGAGTATTTTCAATCTCTAGATGACATTGAAAAATTTAACAATATATTAATGGTTTAGTGTGCAATTGTTATTATTATAATAATATAAATCCTAGCACCCAAGAAATAAAGGGAAATGTTGCAAAGAAGGGGAAGTCATATAAAGGCATATTAATATTAACATTTAGAGTAGAAATTTTCAAGCATAGACTTTGTCTGTCCTTGATCGAAGGTTTCTCCTTAAGATTCTACTTGGTCGACACGTGTCTTCTTCAAAATTCTCTGCCCCTCTCTCTTCATAAAAACCACTTGCAGTGAAGTAGTGACAGTAAGACACTATGGGAAACAAAGCCACCCTTTTGATCTTTCTCCTTGTTCTTTGTCATGGAGTGGCTGTAACAATGGGGTTGTGGAGGACGGAGGTGGAAGAGAGAGAAGAGGATCCTCCAAGGCCAAACAAATTGTTCTTGATGCAAAACTCCAAGGTTGTGGCCAAGACTGATGCAGGGGAGATGCGAGTTCTAGAAAGCTATGGTGGTAGGATCATGGAGAGGCGCTTGCACATTGGCTTCATCACTATGGAATCAAGGTCTCTCTTTATTCCTCAGTACCTCGACTCCACTTTGATCATTTTCGTGCGTCGAGGTAATCATAAATTTCATAATTTCTCACTTTACGCATAATACTAAATTACACGTTTGCTCAAGGACATAGTATTGAAAGAAAAAAATAAATATGTATGTCTATGGTGTAATCTGCATGGAGCTAGAATTCGTGGGGTGTCATCATACGGTGGTAGCTCAGTTGGTAGAAGAGAATTGAGTAAGTGAAAAGGAAAGAATTTTGATTCGATCTCCATGTACTACTTTCGAGAGAAATTTAAATATCTCACACTCTGGATTAGCCTATAGCTGGCTCAAAGATCACTCGAAAATTTGTGGGGACAACGAGAGGAGCCAACTCACTTTAAAAGATAATTAGTGTTCCGGATAGCCCACTTCAGAACGGCCCAATAACTTGGGCCCAAACCCCATTCCCCTCTCCCACGCCAGCCCTGTTGACTTATCGCTACCAACCCTCCATACATCCTTTCCCCTGCGCAACTACGTCCCTAGGTGAGACTTCAAAATGTCTCACTTTGGGATTTCAACCCCTGGAAGATCACCCTAGACACCATAAATAGTAACCCTCAACATCAGATGCTGACACCACCGATGCAGAGACTGTATCACTGCCATCACAACAGTGTCAACCACCCCCATCAACCCCCGAAGAAGGTTGACCCCCTCTCACCAACCCACTCGGGGCAGGAATATCATCCCTGTATAAATACCCCCCCCCCCTCCTCTTAAGACCAGAGAACATCCTATGTATCGTTACCCTGTCAATTTACAAGCCTAAAACATATACATTACCCCCCCCCCCCCCCCCCCACATTATTTGATAGTGTAGTTCATACTTGGGCTAACACTGCCTAACTTGGTCTTTACCTGTACTAGTTGTGTAACCCATACATTGACCTTCATCCCTTAAGGGAATATATTGGGCTTGTAGATCCCAACGGTACAATTAGGATTGAGTTAACTGTGGAACAAAAAAAATTGTGGGGTGTCATGCTTGGTTTTTTAAATTAAGGGGGAAAAACAAAGGCATGAACTTGAAACCAGTGAAACACCAAGAGACAGCCCATGTAACTGTGTGTTGGAAATTTGAGAATTTTAAATTGGTTTCAGGGGAAGCAAAGGTGGGATTCATGTATAAAGATGAACTGGAGGAAAGGAAATTGAAGATGGGGGATGTGTACCAAATTCCAGTTGGTTCTACATTCTATTTGGAGAATATTATGGAGGGTCAGACACTTCACATTATCTGCAGCATTGACCCTTCTGAGAGCTTGGGACTAGGTGCTTTCAAGGTACATATATGCATATGTAATAGCTTTGTGGTGCTTTATAACTCTGACTAATCTTTCTAGATAGTTATACATGTAAATTCTATGGTGAAACAATTTATGACATTCTTCATTGTTTCCTTGGCTATATGTTGCAGTCCTTCTATATTGGAGGAGGAGCTAATCCAGCCTCTGTGCTTTTTGGATTCGAGCCTGAAATCCTTGAAAGTGCTTTTAACGTAAGCTAATAACTTCATTACATAGCAGCATGGTGAACCAAGGCACCAACATAGACACATAAAACTAACAAATGTCTTTTATTATATTACTCACAGGTATCAGGAGCAGAGTTGAGGAAATTCTTCACCGAGCAACATGAGGGTCCAATTGTGCATGTGGGTGATTCACACGTCACAAGCATATGGACCAAATTCCTTCAACTGAAGAAGGAAGACAAAGTCCAGCACCTGAAGAAAATGGTGCAAGACCAAGAAGAACAAGATGATGATGATGATGATGATGATGATGATGAAGAAGAAGAGCAGCAATTGCAAAAAAGTTGGTCATGGAGGAAGCTCTTGGAATCTGTATTTGGGAATGAGAACAAGAAGGACACAAGGGACAACAAGGGTAGCCATCATAAATCTCCTCACTCTTACAACCTTTATGACAGAAAACCAGATTTCAAAAACAGTTACGGTTGGAGCGTTGCTCTTGATGGCTCCGATTATTCTCCACTCAAAAGTTCTGGCGTTGGCATTTACCATGTCAATCTCACAGCGGTATGCAAAGTGAAAAACAAGTCTTAAATATTTTGGGAAGGGGTTATATTTACAACCAAATAGTTTACAAACTCTTACAATCATATAACAGTTTTCGTCAATTAATAGTTGTTATTTATTGTGAATTAATAATTAATTAATAAATTTAATTTGCGAAAATCTTAACCGTTGATTTGCGAAAGTACGTCATGTGAATTTGAGCAAAATGTGTCATTTTTTTTAACTTTTTTGCATGGCAGGGATCGATGATGACACCCCATGTGAATCCAAGGGCAACAGAGTATGGCATAGTGTTAAGAGGGTCTGGGAGAATCCAAATTGTGTTTCCAAATGGAAGCAATGCAATGAACACTCAAATCAAAGAAGGTGACGTGTTCTTTGTACCAAGATACTTCGCTTTCTGTCAAATAGCATCAAGGAGTGAACCGTTAGAGTTCTTTGGGTTCACCACCTCTGCTAGGAGGAACAAGCCACAGTTTCTTGTGGGTGCTACCTCACTTTTGAGGACCATGATGGGGCCTGAGCTTGCGGCAGCATTTGGGGTGACCCAGGACACGATGCGCCACGTGATTAATGCACAACACGAGTCTGTGATCCTACCCGCTCCACGGGCTGCACATGAAGAACAGAATAATAAGAACAAGGTGGAGACGCTTCCAAAGTTTATAATGAATGGCTTGATTTTAGGCCTTTGATTTTATTATATGATTGGAGGAACCTTTGGCTTATGATAATGAGAATATGGTGGAACATTTATGTTGTAAGAGAGGCTAGTTGGCTACAAGATGTTTAATAATGATAGTCTAGTGATTATTTTTGTATCACTTAGGAACAATTTTACATGCAATAATCAATTTTACTCTTGTTATTTAGCTTTTTATATGATTGAACATCAATTCAAATTGATTCTTGCGCTTAGATTGTGTTTTATTGGTCCAAGTTGACATTCATATACTAAAATTTTTCGCTACAAGTACGCCACGTATCAAGCAACAAATTTAAAATTAATCTTACTCTGTTAATTTTAATTTTAGTTATTGCCATAATTAATCAACTTAATCTCTAGATCTAGTTAATATTTCTCAAATAACTAATTTTTCCTCTTTTTATCTTTTATTTCTCCTTTGAAACAATTTAATTAATAGAGATGTGATGAGAGGAGCACCTAAATTTAAATTTGTAATCCACTTCATTTTTTTTCTTCCCTTCTCTTATTTGAACCGCATCAATCTTTTTTTTTTGAAAATATTCATCGATTCATTGCTTCGCAACTAATTCGATTCGGGGTGGGTCCAAAATTAAGACTTTAAACTACTCTCAAAGATGGTACTAGAGAGATTCAAACACATACTCTCATTCTGATCTGTTTAGCTCTCATACGCCAACTGAACTACCACTATTTGGTACTGCATCAATCCTTTATGTTTTGAGTCTTAATTTTTTTTTGACAAAAAAAAATCCTAAATAAATTGTTTAGATTAAAATAAATATTTTCGTCACTAAGAACACTGGTTCTAGTTGTACATATATAGCATGTTTTAATCTCACTTGCACTTATGTTTGACTATGATGCTATCATTACTCATAAGTTTAATTTAAATGAAAAAAAAAAAATTAAAATAGATTTATTTGTAAACTAGTTAATAAAAATTTAGTTATATTTTAATTTGAGTAAATTAACACTACGATATATTTAAAATTAAATATACGATAAATATATTATTGATTACATTTTTAAAAATAAAATTACTTTTAAATCTTAATCATTTGTTTTTTTAACCTCATTTGTAAGTTTAATATATTTGTTAGAGTAATTTTAAAATAAAGTAAATTTAAGGTTCTCGAAGATTAAATTAATTATTTTGTATTTAATTTTAATTAATTTTTTAAGTAGGTTCTCGTTCCTTAAGCAAAGAATCCATAGACAAGAATGAGAAAATGATATATATATCCATCACGCGCAAACCACGTGCATGCAAGATCTGCAGACAAAGTTTAGTTTTGGGTACCGAAGAGAGCGAGCTTAGGTCAGAGCCATGAGAACTCACACTAAACCTGCTTCCTCTCTTCTCCTAACAATAATAACATGTCTCATTCTTCTCACCTTTTCTATTCCCACCCAATCCGAGGTTATAACCTTAACCTCTGACACGTTCTCTGATAAGGTACATCATCCTAATTCTACTATTATCCCTATTCTAATTTTTCGTACATGTTGCGATCGCTGTTCACTGTCTTAATCAAAATTCCTTTTTTGTTGCTTTTTAATGCCCCAATTTACAAACCCAGTTTTATATTTAACAATCGTAATTTATGCAGTGGTTGTAACTATCGGACCCATATTGGATTACCTGTTTTTTTTTTTGTTCCTCTCCTGCAATTAGAGGGTTTTATATTTTATATTTTATTTTTAAATCAGAACAATGTTCTATCGTTGCTAATTGGAGTTTGTCACTATAGATGCAGATTGGTATAGAAGTTGTTTAATTAAGGGTTTGTGTGTGTGAGTGTGTGCTTGAGTTAATTGTGGGATTTTTTTTATTTTTTTTTAAACTATTATAGAAATGGGTCTAACTTGTTATTGCTATGATCTGAATTGTCAATTTCATTTTTTATTTTTTATTTTTGGTGTTTAGATCAAGGAGAAAGACACTGCATGGTTTGTGAAATTCTGCGTTCCCTGGTGCAAGCACTGGTGATTAATTCTTTTACACACTCTGCAATATCCTAAACTAGATATTGAACCTGCTTTTATTTTATATTTTTTAGTGTTTGCTAACTTGTAAAATAATAAAAATGGTTGCCAGTAAGAACCTGGGTTCATTGTGGGATGACTTGGGGAAGGCAATGGAAGGAGAAGATGAAATAGAGATTGGAGAAGTGGATTGCGGTACTGAAAAGCCTGTCTGTAGCAAAGTTGATATTCATTCCTATCCTACCTTTAAGGTTTTCTATGATGGCGAAGAAGTTGCCAGATACCAAGGTAATTAGAATTTTCCCTCTTGCAAAAGATGGATTTTAAGGATTCTGCTCAATTTCCTTTTCTTCTTTAAACTTAATTCACATTCTCAAGCTTAATCTTTCACTTTGAATTACCATAACCAATTACGACTAGTTGATGTTTCATGTTTGCTTACATCCCTTGATTTCTGTGGCACATCTTGCCTTGGATTAGGATAACAAAATTAAATTCTTTTGGAGTTCTTATATATCAAGTTTGGAAAACCAAACAAGGCATCACCACTGTCATTGTGTCTGTACAAGTATGATCTTTCTCTGCACATCATGAATGTGGAAATTTAAAACGAAAATCAGGTGATTGTGATGGCTATAACCCTCATACTTTCTGCTGATGAATGAAGGTGCAAGATGGTATCTGCCACTTGTCTTATATAATGATGATGATCAAATGAGTTTGCTAGTTACCAGAGATTGTGGTCTGTGCCTCTATGATAATAACGTAGGGTAGCATGTATACTCTTATCATATTGTCCAGCTATTCAAAACTCTTTTGCAGTAAAAATTTCCCGTTGCATTTTACAGTTATTCAAGTCACGGAAATTTCTTTGAAGAACCTAATAGCAATGGATTTAAGCTTTTTATGATTTATTTGCATTTTATTTTATCAGCCCTGAAGGAAGAAATATATTCTTTAATTTTAAGGAGAAACAAATCATTGTCTTATCATCGTAGATTAATGTATGGCTTATGCTTTTGAGTTTTATATGATTTATTCGTAGGACCCTTGTAATAGGTACTCCCTCTCACCCCTTCTCCCTACCAAAGCTAGAGGGAGAAATGATGGATTATAAATCTAATATTTTTTTGTATGCGGTACAAATGGTCAGGTTCAAGGGATGTTGAATCATTGAAATCCTTTGTTTTGGAAGAAGCTGAAAAGGCAGCAGCAAAAGCACAGCTTGACAGTGGTAAAGAATTATAACAACTTTTAAGGTATACTACCAAGACACCCTCGCTCTGCAGGTTTATTTTTCTATTCTCTCTATGGATTCTTTGTAATTGTATTGCGTAAGGAGGGACTTAAAATCTCTCACCTCTGATATTTACTTTTGGGAGAGTTACAATTTAGGATATTGATGAGACCTTGGGATGCACCACCCCAAAAGCTAGCTCAAAGGGTGGGAGTGCCCAAAGCCTTATAAATCCCACATTAGTTGCCCATACAACCAATGTGGGACTCCAAGTCCCATACTTTGCAAATGGAACCCCAACACTCCACCACGCTTCCCTAGTGCGTGCCCCCACGCACAACTCCATGTTATGGATGCTCTGATACCATTTGATGAGACCTTGGGATGCACCACCCCAAAAGCTAGCTCAAAGGGTGAGAGTGCCCAAAGCTTTATAAACCCCACATTAGTTGTCCATACAACTAATGTGGGACTCCAAGTCTCATACCTTGCAAATGGAACCCCAACAGATATTCTAGTGAACGAGTTCTCAATTTGGAATGAATTAACTGAAAGAATGGTTAATTAATTCAACATATTATGAACCAGCTCAACACTCTTTCGGTTAATCGTCTTAAATTTGAAATAGATTTTCCTCCATATTCTAAATTATAATTCTCCCTTTGATTTTTCATCTAATAAATTAACTCTTATGTTTATGTCTTGTGTGCCAATCAATTGATTATAGTTGCTTCTTGTGCAGTCATTACCTGGGGATTGCAACCAGCTCTTTACTGCAGGCGGTGCATATCACAGATTAGTAATCATCGCTGGGTTCAGGTTGAGCTTAGCGAAGATCCATTCTGCTCTGCTCTGCTCATTGTTTGTTTGACGTCGTAGTTGTGAATTTAGAACTAATTTTGCATAGTGCCACATACTGTTTCTTTTATACTTTACAAAACTGATAACATCTTGTTCACGTTAAAGTTTCAATACGATGGTCGTTGATGTTTAATCAGAAATCATGCTTGAGGATTTGTTCTTCTACCATTCCGTCTTTCGAATGCGTAAAATTTTGTATTTTATGGAACCCGCATATGAAAAAATGTTTTGTCATTAATCATTAAGTAAATAAACATAAAGCAAATGAGGTTAGTGAGTTATAGTTCTTCCAGGTAGTTCTCTTCTCTAGGATTATAGCATCCTACAATAACCACCTTTTTTTAATACGTACAAACTCCATCCAGAACTCTTCCTCGTGAAACTAATGCAAAAGATGAAGAACATGAGGTGGTGGTGTAGACCCTTAAAAGCAGGTTACTTCCACGAGGTTTTCTGCAAATGATTAGGGGTTAATTTTTTTTATATTTATATATATCGATTCTAATTATCTCTTTTGAGATAAGTTGGTCACTTGAATATTTTTATAAATTTCAATTTTTTGAGCCTGTTATGAAATTTATTCCGAGTAAAGATTTAGGTACAGTTAAAATTCTTTGTCTCTCCCCGAAAGGTGTATTTGATGGAAATCAAATTTAGATTCTTTCTCCACCTACCTAGCATGTGTTGTTAATTGAGTTATACTCATTGGGTGAATAGGGTTTAATTTTAATATTAAGTTATAAACAACAAAGGAGTTTTATGAACAATCAAGCACATGAATCAACTAATAGGGGGTTGTTTCAGTTTAATTAATAATCTCAAGTTGGAGTTCTGGATATATAATTGTGTTAAATATAGGAAGAAAAATTTTTGTTGCCCTTGTGCTTCTGTCCGATTTGAATTTGGATAAGTCGCATCCGTTGGCAGTTGGATACGGGATGGTTTATGACCTAGGATTAAAAAGCAATTAGTAGCATTTTAGCTCCAAGGAAAAATAACTTCTCCATCCGAATGAATATGCCATTATTCTATTCAACATTGCTGGTGTATCTACAACTACAACTACAACACAGCGTATGCGTATCTTAGCGCTGTATTTCGTAGTGTGTTTATTCTAATACCTGCATATGCTTTGAATGCACTTATCTTATCGAGTCCAAACATTTTGTGCTTTTGAGGATGCTTGTCTATTGAAAGGTCCAAATACAAATATTTGTCCTTTTTCAAATTTGACTTTTCAAACAGCTTACGTCATGGAAAGATGTTAAGTCATCATCAACAGAGTGTTATTTGAGCACTTACCTCATCGGCGTTAAGATGTGGAATAAGAGAAAATTCTCGGTGGTTCAGGACCAGTAATCATCGGGTGACATTTTGGAAATTTTTGAAATATAAATGAAAGAAAGGAGTAAAGTGAAAAAAAAAAAAAATCACATTTTTCCAAAGGAACTGCCCAATTATTAATAGTCCTGCACCACTAAATTTTTTTCGTGATATGAAATGCTTAAATGCAATTTGTCTGGCAAATTCCCTTTTTTTTGCTTGAATGGATTTCCAAGGTTTTGATGTCTATGGTTTAAACATCAATATTATCATCATTCGCTCATTATTTGGAAGAAACACTTTATGAACAATGCACAAATATCAATAATTAAATCAAATATGTGTTAGCTATCAAAAAAAAATAAAAAAATATGCGTTTTGGTTATAGTTTTATTTTATATTTTTGTCAACCGCTATATAATAATAGTTAATTCTTCATGGAGTGAAATTTATGTATTTGTTGAAGAGCATCTTCAGAATTTGTTAGAAATAATCATCTGGATGAAGTGACGAAGTTGCACATTGATTATAAATGTTTCAATTGAGTATTATATAAGTGCAAAAAAAGATCCATGCAACTTAAGATTTAAAATTTTGAGTTAAGATATAGTATCTGTTCATTTGTTGTGGTTTGTCATTTGGCTTTGCAAAGGATTTTGGACTTCTTCGTTATGATTTTTAACAGACTATTGTCGGGTATGACTGAAATTTTTTTTTTTTTCTCTCTCTCCTCAAGATAACATGTCATGAGAAGCTAAAGAAATCTGCACTAAGAGGAACTTGTATACTAATTTTGACAAAAAAGTGTCGAAGTTGTCTGATACAAAAAGAATCAAGTGTAACACAAAGCACAACAACTCGAATTTGTTATTCTCTTTTCTATTACAACTGAGTCTAATCTTTTTGATTGATTTCTTTGTTTCTTTGTTTTTCACTAGTGTCCAACTCTGAACCTTCCCTGTTTCCTACAATTTCCAAGGATATTGGAGCCTGTGTTCGTTAGGAGGATTGTGGATGCAAACTTCGATTCATAAGATCAGGACCCTCGAACTTAAGAAATCTATTAGCCTGGTCAATTCAAACTGCGTCCATAAGAAAAATGAAAATAGATTCATTCTAGAGATTTATAGAATACCAGATAAGACAACATAATCATTTGACTATATAATAAGAGGAAGCCGTGAGAGAAAAAAGGGAAGAAAATTCAAATCTGAGTTAGGTACTTTCAATTCAGAACCATGGAGAGCTTAGTATAATTACATAAAAACATTTCATTTGGAAGCACATGTAACATATTACCGTTTCCTGGATGAATATATTATAATGCCTGCACAAGAAGTACCATGGTCCATGGTGGTGTTGTCAATTTAAGGAGCGAAATATGAAATCAGACAAAGTGCACTTACCTTGGCTTCTGCGTTGCTTCTCTTAGCCATTTAAAAAATCAATGAGTTTTCATTTTGCATATGAAAGGTTTACTATGCAGGAAATATGATGCTAGCAGACCCTGCTCCAACCTAACCGAGGATACTAGGATGGATGCAAGCGACAGCACCATCTCTCCTGCGTAGCAAACCTTTCAATGCCATAACTCCTTCAATCTTCGTCATCACTACTTCTTGGATTGTAGGCCACGAGGCCAACTCATAATATATAGACCCGAATATTTACAGCTGTTTATTTGTTAGGAAATCATTTTGTCATATTGTTGGATATAGTTTTTGTAAGGCATCTCGAAATCTGTGCTATTTTCTTTTTATTTTTTTAACAAGTGGTAGAAACTATTACTTGTTATGTATATAGCATGAGAGATGTTATCTCATGTGAAATGAGAAAAGAGAAACCCTCCTTTGTTTATCCAAACAAAACACGTATCACATCATTCCCCCAAAATCTTAAAATTGTAAATACATGAATCTTTTTGAGTTATATGGGTTAGCCACAAGGGAAATGTTATATTTATAAAAAAAAATTTATAAACTTTTATAAATTATATTATATCTGACCGGTCATATATTCTTAATTGAAGTCTAATAAGTCATATTTAATATAATTTGTAAGTTTATAAAAAAAAGTTTATAAGCACACTATAGTAAATTATAGACTAGATCTTGACCAAAATTCTTGAGACTGAATTTATGAGTTTATTTGTTTTTTGGTACAGTATGAGTTTTTTTTTTAGCTTATATAATTATTACTTAGTTCATTCCTAAGTAATATTGGAATTTATTACTTATACTTGAATTTTTAAACTCTGGACTCTCTCGCTGCATTTACTAAATTCTAAGCACAAAGGTGCATGGTATTATTGTATTTTATTTTGATAAACTACGAGTACTCTTTACGGAAGGCAATTCTGTTCGGAATGGATCCAGAATTAAGTTTTAAACCCCTCCTAAAGTGGTACTGGGTGTTAGGATATTCAAGTGTGATGAGTCTCACATTTGTTGATAATAGGCTAAGTGAAGTGGATGAACCTATGAACCCAATGTCTTAGAATTTTTGGTCGAGAGATAGTGTCGAATCCACTTGATATAATTGGTCTAAACTTAGCCCATTGGTGGAGATCCCCCGCCATGGACTTCCTCTGGACCCTCCTGACAAGCGGTGTCAAAGTCAGGTTAGGCTCGAGTTTTTATTAATATGTGGTCCAGATTTAAACTAATGGTTTTGGATAAAATACAATATAACTGTTTAATTCAAGTTGTCTAGCAAAGCTTTGTTTGTTGTTGTTGTATGTGGTCTGAATTCCAATGCCTTAAAGATGTGCCAATTCTGATGAGGTCATAGCCGAACGTCAGCAGCTGCCACATCTAACGTCCACAAATTGCAGCAGCCTTAGGGGTGCATAAAGCATCTATATGAATATGATCTTCACGTAAATAATGAACAATTCAAAAACTTAAATTGTTAGTTAAGGTTATATTTATCACTTTATATTTTTTTAATACACATTTTTATATAAAAGTTTATTAGACTTGATGAGTGGATAATGCATCATGCTCTCATGACCATTTAATTACTGAGACTTTAATATCATATAAAAAATTAATTTAACCCAAAAATTTATGATATTAGATGAAATTATATTAATAACTTTATATTTTTGTCACAGTTTACCAAGTCTTTCTTTTTCATGTAGCTGGGTCCTTTGGAATCACGCAATAACATTCAGATTCTGTTTATAACCATGAGGGGACTGAAATTGGAAAAGGAGTAATGAACATTTATATAACATTATATCTAAAGGCATATATCCTGACCATATATGTAAATTGCAAATTTGAACCACCCTATTATGTAAAGGCACTCAAAAGAATTGATTTGCTCAGAACGAGAGTTTATTGAAGAGATTAAAATACCACACACGAAAGTCCTTTAGGCAGGTGTGTGCACATTATCATTTTAAATGGCTTTCTTCTGCTTTAGAATCCGCTGAGACTGCTACTTTGAGTTGACGAGAATTAAAATGGTTAGCTTTGCCACCTCCTATACTCTCTCAAATTATCTTAGTGGAATAACTGAAGAATGAAAATAAAAGCAACATTAAGCATGGTTTGCTCGCAGTTACAACCCATTCAATTTAGTGACTAGATGACGTGGACATGATATTAGAAATACAAAATGCTAGTACTATTTTGCCTTACCATTCTTTTCAATGATTTGAAGGGAAATATTTAATATGCTTAAAGGTTACTTAATGATTTGATGCTTTCTCTCACAACATTAATTCACACTCATAAAACTTCTGACGAAAATAAAACAATTGTAGAACTGGCCCTTTTTTCTTTCTTTTTTCGAAATTTAAAAGTTTATATGGAAAGGTGTTCGGAAGGTGAACGATAATATCTAGTTATAGAGTTAGTAGCTATATTTATGGTGCAAAGATAGAGATGACTGACAAAGGGTATAACAGTATCTCCAACCAATACTCGGGATGTTTGGTACAGGAGAAATTTTTATTTGTCCGGGAATCTCGATTTTTAAAAATATAATTTTTACATTCAATTTACAATAATATCTGAAAATTTAAAATTTTAAAAATTTTAATTTTCCGGAAATTCAAAAAAAATCCATATACCAAACGACCCCCAAAAGTATATATCAGAGGTGTGTTTGTATATGTGTGTGAATATCTGGAAATGAGTGAACACTCGGGACAATAACAATAAACAAGGTTTACCTTATTTGTGTATAATAGAAGTTTACCTTCCGCAATCACAATTATTAGTTAGGCTAATAACTCAATCAATTGAAAGTAGAATGCCTCCTTGATTGTGTTTCGCTATTATTATGTCCAAGTAGAGGACCTTCACTACTGTCTTACTACAAAGTACTATAACCCAGTCAGCATGAATAGAATTCGGGTGCTATTATTCTACCACCTGCCCAATATTATACTTGACAGAGCTTCTATAATTAATGGGTTTGATATTTGTCATTTTAAATGATATAAAATATGTCATTTTAAGAGTGAGATAAATACAAAAAAACAAAAATTATAAGAGAGAAAAAATGAATGATTTTTTTTAATTTAAAATTTAAATAAAAAATTATGTGTCTGTCTCTCTATTAAAATAACAGAATCTTATGTCAACAAACACTTTTTTCATAATTAATTATCGAAAATAAGGTACGGAGGTATTAAATAGCGTCCAACTACTTACTGAAATGGCTATAACATTTGGTGTGAATTTAAGACGAATCAGTGAAAGAGCAAGTACTTTTTTGGATTTCTTACTAAAAAGCTTTGATTGCTTTCTTCTGTAAATTTCATGCCCGCTCTTTCACAAAAAAGGGAAAAGTGTCTATACATTTAAATTACACAACTTACATCCTTTCACTCTCACAAAGAGGTGGGACCCACAACTTTATTTTTTTTGTCAACTCTCTCTCCTCCTTTATCTATCTCTTTCTCTCTCTTAAAATGACACAACTTTACATCCTTCAAAATTATACACACTTTTCCCCACAAAAAATGACATAAATATATTAAGGTGGAGATAGAATATTATATCTATATGTTTATTTTATCTACTCATCTCTAAATATTATTTTATCTACTCGTCTCTAATATTATTGATCAATGATAATAAAAGAAGAGAGAGAAAAAGAGAAAAAGAGAATCATAACCATTCAAAGGTGAATCAATTAATATAAGAAAATAAATAAATAAAATGACGTAATTTTGAAATGACTGGAGATAAATATCTCTCAAGCAGCTTGAGAAATATATATTTTTTCTATATATATATATATATATATATATATATATATATATATATATAAATTGGTTGGGTGAAGGTGAGAGAAAAAGAGAAAAGATTGAGGAGAGAGAAGGAGGAAAAAAAAATCCGCGTGTTAATTTTTTAATAAAAAGATCATAGTAATATGAATCATATTAAAAATTCTCCTCTACTGGTGTACAGATGCTATATGATGAGAATATCTTCCACCCTAATGTAATTATTGGAAAGTGTCATGTCAGGCATGTAAATCATTAATTTCTTTCATATTAAAAAATATATATTATTATACGACAAATCATAACTATATAAATGTGGATCAATGGTAATATAAAAGAGAAAAAAAATATATTAAAATAGGTAATTACAAAATCATAACTGTTGATTCATTTTTATATGATTGTGATCTTCTCACGTAACTATATTTTTTTTTTACATGAGAAAATCTATTTCTGAAGGATAGACCTAATTTTTTTAATTAAAAAAAGTTAGGAAATCTAATTACTATAAGAAATTATTAAAAGATTAAAATTATACATAAAATATAATAAAATCGAAAAAAGAAATGCAGTTAAGCCTAATATATAACATCCATTTCATCCCATTATTATATGTTAAACTCAAATGTTATTTAATGCTTATCTGATTAGATGAAGAGATAAGTTCAAAGAAAATGATAGTGACAACCCTTAAAAAAAAAAAACAGACAAATAAGTAAAAGGCAATGGAAAAACAGAAGCAAAGTTACATATTTACAGCATTGATGTCATGAAACTATGAGATAAAGCCCAATTGCTCAACAAAACAAGACACACTTGTCCTTTCCCTGTTACAAAGAAACCAAAATAGTGCCGTCCATGTTAAACATCCGTGCTACCCATGGAGTTCCTCTGTGTCTTTCAGGGACACTCCACCCTCTTCCACTTTCTCATGAGTAACCCCTTTCCCTTGTTCTATACACCACCATCTCTGATTCCACTCTTTCTCTCTAACATCTATCTGTTCTTGGTTGTGTGTAGGATGGCAGATCACGACCGTAGGAGACAGGCCATGATGAGGAGACAAAGATCACTCTTCATAGAGGGTATTCATCATGCAAATCAAGAAATGGGTAGCCAGATTAACTTTGTTAGAGACTTTCTAGTGGTCAAAGGTGAAGATCTGGATGACATCTTGCATGATCTGTTCCAAATTAACATGGGTTTAACTGCAAGAGCTGCTTAGCTTCTTAACCAAAATCTCACTACTACTTTGTGAACTTGATTGTCTGGCTTCTTACGTAATTTTATTATGTTCCCATTTGGCTCTTCTTTGTTATGTTTCTAAATTTGTTTTCTTTAACTATGTGGATCCTCCTCTTGTATTCCTGCTCCTGTGGTTAATTCTTCTCATGATGTTGCATATATGCATAATGCATTGTTCATGTTGTGTGTGGCAGGCACTTCAATTCAACCTCAAAACTGCCGTATGTTAATTTAAATTCCCTACAGTTGGATTCTGTCCCCCCTTAAGGGGCGTTTGGTTGAGGAAATTTCTTTGGAATAGTAGAGAAATGAGATAGATAGAGAAATGATTGGAAAGATAGATAAAGTGAGATAGCTAGAAAAATGTAAAAAAAAGTTGTTTGGTGGGGAAAAACTTTACTGGGAAAATTATGCAACTTTATGAAATCAACAGTGCATTAAAAGTCAGATAACCGGTTTTCCAAAAAATCCTACCTTCAAATTGGGTTTCTAAACAGTGCGGATATTTATGTTTTTCATAAATCCAGACAAATTGGATAGATGGGTTTTTGGTGAAAAACTTTGAAACAAACGTGGTGTTTCTAAAAGCCATACTTGAGAAAGATAGATATCCCCTAAAAAGCTTTCAACCAAACACCACCTAAAATATTTGTATGACATTGATTAAAGTATGCATCATTTAGATTGAGTCACTCATTTTGTACTTGGGTAAGAGCATGTTGGTCCATTTACTATTTTTTAAATCCTAAATTTCCTTTAACCCAAAAGATAAAGCTGTTGCGTAACTACATTAATGAATTGTTTTATTTTTTAACACGCCCCTCTTATATAAAAGTTTATTCAATTTGAATGATGGACAATATGCATGTCGCCCTCTTATATAAAAGTTTATTAAATTTGAATGATGGATAATATAACGTGTTTAACAAACTTCACAATACTTAATTAATTACTAATTAAAAAAATGTGGTGAGAATTGAACTTGTATGTGACAACAAGGCTCTAAAATCATATAAAATGTTAATTTAACTCAAAAGCTTAAGATATTGGCTCTAACAATTGATTCGAAACAGAATATTGAAAAAAAGAAAGTGGGCATTGGTCTACTGTGAGGGGAAGTAAAATAAAAATAAAGCACAAAATGATGAGAATGAAAATTAAATTAGAAGGAAAAACCAAGAAAGTGAGTGATTAGATAATATTTTTTAGTGTAAATATATTATTTATATATATGGAATAATAAATTTTACATTACATTTTAATTATTAATCTATTTATATTTAAAAGCTTTAAGTTATTATATATTGGAGAAAAGTATTTCTACAGTCACTCTAGATAAGGTTATCTACAACCATCATTTTTAACTATGTTCTCTCGGGAAAACATAGTTATAACATTAAAGTTGTTTTTTTTTCTCTCTCTACGTCAGCAAACAGGTTATGAAAAGTAACTGAGGAGAGAGAAAAAAAGTAACTTTATTGTTATAACTATGTTCTCCCGGGAGAACATAGTTAAAAATGGTGTAGATAACCTTATCTAAAGTGGCTGCCGAAATGTTTACCCTTATATATTGAGTATAAATAATTAATGTATTGTTTATATAGGGCATAACAATAACATAATTACATAAAAATGTGTATAATTTTAAAGGACGTAAAGTTGTGTTATTTTAAGTGAGAGAAAGAGATAGATAAAGGAGGAGAGAGAGAATGGACAAAAAAATATAAATGTATGGATCTCATCTCTTTGTGAGAGTGAAATGACACAAATTATATCGTTTAAAAAGAGAAACATTTTTCCTAAAAATGTATTGTTTATCACATATAGGAATTCATTGTTAGAAACAACATATCATGTACTTGTTATTTCTGACAATGTATTCTTGTTCAAATGAGACGTAACAAACTGGATCTGCATACACTAAGAATGGGTCTTAAAATATGACATTTTGACAAAAATAAAATACATGAAACATGACATTTGATTAATTTATTTTGAAAAATGTATCAATTTGATCTTTGTCCCTACAGCCTTTTATATATAGAGAGAGGGCTCTTATGATGTTTTTCAAATTGTATTAAAAACCTTTTACTCTAAGGCTTATTTGAGGCGAGTTATTTCTCCTTATATCTTCATAAGTTTTGACTATTTGAGCTGGTTATGGGACTAATCTGAAGTGCGAGATGGATAAAAATTAAAGATATTTAAATCTCTCACAAAAGTGAGATGTCTGAATAATTCTTTAGTGCATCGATTCATCTACCCAATTATTTTGTGAAATGTGTAAAAAAAAATATCACATCATGTGCTTTTTTAAGATGATTTGATATTTTTGATCCACGTGTCACAAAATGAATAGACAGATGTACTGAGCTCAGTGCATCTGATGCACTAAAGATTTATTAGGCATGTGAGAATCGAACCGAGGCCATTTTTTTTTTCACTTGCTCAGCTTCTTTGCTACCAACTGAACTACCACCACTAACAAAGCACCGACACACAATTTTTTTAAAAAAAATGTGTGTAGGACACCGACACACAATTTTTTTAAAAAAAATGTGTGTAGGACACCGACACGTTCCGATACGCGGTCAACTTTTTTTACACGTGATTAACGCTCCGACACGCATCCAACATGTTTTTTTTTAGATCTAAATTTTATTTTATTAACTAAATATGAAAAAATAATTTATAAATCAATTTTTTTCTGTTATGAAATTTGACATGAAAAATTAACAATATACGAAAAATTATATTTGTTTTATATTTATGTTATGCAATTTGAACATTTAATTAGTTATATGACTTATTGTGAGATATTATTGTATTAAATATAAATTATATTATATACATTAAAAATATTATTTAATATCAAAACGTGTCTTAATATATCAAAATATAATAATTTTTAAAATTAACGTATCAACGTATAATGTCTCATATCCTAGTGTCGTGCAACATAACTTGGTTGTATTAAAAACCTTTACACAGTGTATTCCTCGTGATTTTCCTCTCATATTGGATTTATCCCGTAAATTTTGTGTATGGTATCTCTCCGGCCGGTTTTACTTTCTTTTATATTTCCAGTTAATTTTTTTTATTACTATATTCTTTACATTTTCTCCTATATATATATATATATATATATATATATATATATATATATATATATATATATATATCCTTGATTTTACCTCTTGGTACATTAAGGGTACATTTCTTAGAGGAGAAATTATTTTATTTTTGGTAATCATGATTACTGAAAATATGCTGGAAAAGTGAATTTTCTAAAAATATTACTAAAAAATTATTTGATAGATCAAAATATTTTTAAAAATGTTGACTCAAATTTATTGATTTTTCTTTAAAGTTTATACCTGGTAGGTTTGATATCTCTTTTTTTTTTTTTTTTGAGTTACCCAACCCTAATTACCTCTTTGAGGCGAGTTGGCTCCCTCCGGTATCCCCACAAGCTTCGACTCTTTGAGCCGGCTATGAGACTAATCCGGAGTGCGGGGGTCAGTGATAACTAAAGGTTCAGCCCCCTCCCCAAGAATGCATTCAGCGGGAATCGAACACATGTTCAACCCCACTAACTCAGCGCTAAAGAACCAAGTGAGCTGCACCCCTTGGATTAGGTTTGATATCTCTTTTCTTTGGTAAATAATATCGCCCTCACGTAATACATATTTGTTGTTATAGTTATCTCCTTTAATCACCTAAAACAAACAGATGCACTTGTCTCCTTGCACGAAATGACAGTTTTATCCGTGTTAACAAAATAATAACTAACAGAAAAATTTTCAATTAAATTTTGATGTTTTTAGCTGTTAATCTATATTCGATTTTTTTTTATCGCGTTTCTTAAAACATGGCATTCCTCAACCAAACCATACCCAATAATGAAACAATAATTATCTAAATACTCCTAGCAACTAAAGCCAATACAGGAATCATCAGGCATATGAACACCAAGTTTGTCAAGAATAAAGGTGAAAATTTTTCACCTTAAATTTTTAACTAATATAAATTGGAGAAAGGAATTGTACATTTGCATGTCTCCCCAGTCAAGCGATATATGTAGTATATTACTCGAGTAGGTATAGCGGATCCATAGGAACGCGCCATGTCAGTTGTTATTGTATTGAAGAAGAAAAAAAGGAAAATAATTTTTGTATTTTACATTATATATTATCATTGTATCCAATGATTGGTGCACTTGTAATACAGAAGATGAGAGGGAATGAATCCTCTCATGTTAAAAAGTGATTATGTGATCATGTTATTTAATCACAATTATTCATTAATGATGAGATAAGAGAGAAAAAAATATATAATTTTTAAATAAATAGTTGTAATCAAATAACATAATCACACAAACACTTTTTCACATAAAAAAAAATTCACTTAAGATGCGATCCCTGTCAATTGCTCAAAAACATAACGTTTACCAACTTTTCAAAGAGCAAACCACTACATCATTTTCTACTCTACAAGCAAATTCATACTGACCACTGAAACCCAGAAAGTTGTAACCACTGTTATCATATCCAAATGTCACACTCTAATTAATAAACACTACCTATCTCTCAACTATAAAATTATTTTCAGTGGAGTACCGAATACTCGGTATATTATTTATCAAATATAATAAAAATAATATATTTACTATATCCTAATTTTTTGGTATTTTCATTCATAATTTTTTTTTCTATTTTAATAAAGAAATACCTACTCCCATATAATATAACATTGTAAATGAGATCCTCTACTACATCTCCCTTGTCGTTGCAAACCTCAATCTTGTGACAAATCCAGCTCAGATATTAACATCACATTGCCTCTAACCAACACGAGATTAGGGACATAAATATGGCGGCCCCATGGCAACAAAGAGTTTTGATAAAAGAAGGTAAAGTTGAAGAAAAGTAAAGAATATGGACAAGGTACACCAATCTCTCTTTCACTAAGACGTCATATCAAGTTAGCTTATTATGTGCCAATGGATTATTCCGCACATGACTTGGAATTTTTTTTTTAATAGAATAAGAAAAAACAGCAAAAACAACAACTAAAGAACCACATAACTAAATAAAAGACTAGGTCTTGTCTTTCTGAGGATGAGAAATGTCTGCGGCATCTGCCTGGAGAAAAGCTTCAGCAAGCCAGGAGGCTGGGCAAAGATAACAGCATCACAGGTAATTCAGAATTGTTAAGGGAAAAATTAGCTAAAAAATCAGCACAACTATTGGCCTCACGAAAAGCATGAACAATCGTAATCTGTCACTAGACGATTGAGGAGTGCTTGTATTTGAGTCATTAAACGAGACCCACGAGTTGCATCACTATTTTTTGTGAGTAAAGCAACTACCGAAGTAGAATCACTCAAAAAACTAGATGAACAGTAAGCGCATTGCAGACAGCAATACGATACAAAATCCCAACAAGCCAATATCAACGAGGATTATTTAACAAATACGAGACGAAAATCAACAAACCAAGATCGATGAGAATTACGAAACAAACCCCAACAAGCAGTTACACCAGGACACCCTCTAGCAAATTAAATTCTCAATATAATTAGTGATCTTTTTTAATCTTGAATAAGAACATGTCTCCCCTAATCTAATTTTTTATGCAAAAAAAAAAAAAAAAACTATTGTGCTTCATCTTCATTTAATCTTTGGATTTTAATTAGTGGAGGGTAAACATGATGTTTCCATTAACTCTTTATCGTCGTTAAGTTTTATTTCAATTGAGGAAAATCAGTATTACGCTTAAAACAAAGTGAAATATTACTCTTCTTTTACTTAAGATAATTTTTCTCATGCTCTCTCACTTCGATTTTTGCACCTTAATTTTTTTTTTTATAATTGTGAGACTCACTCATTTTTTCTCTACAACATAAGATAACTATCTTATGTGAAAGAAGGCTAATAAAACCCTAAAACAAAAGAGCTATTGAGCATAATAAACGCAAGTATTAAGTTGTGATGCTTAACATGTGTAGTTCTGGAAGCTTTATCTACTATTCCTTAGGCAAAATAGATTTTTATAACATGTTATGTCAAACAGTGGTTGACCAATCACCAATCAAGACGGGACATTGCAGCAAATTAAACTATTATTATATATTTAGATTAAACTATTTACATTATATTTGATGTAAAAATAATCAATTAAAAAAAACGTTAAAAAGAATGAATTTTTGTTTAAACGTAATATTTAAATAATATTGTTCACCAAAAAAAAAATTTAAATAATATTAAAGAAATATTTTTTATAATAAAATAAATTATTTCTAAAATATTAATAAAACTAATTTTTTTAAATGTACATACTTCAATAAATTATTTAAACCAAAAAAAATAAAAAAATTACCCTCTTAAATCAATTTTAGAACTCAAAATTTGAGGAGGCGTGCCGAAATCTAAAATCAACCACACTCTGTAGCTTCCGGTTAAATGTTAAGAGAAAAATAGTTAGACATGTAAAATTTATTTTAGATTAAAAGTTCATAACTAAAATTTTTTGGAATATTTCACGGTATGTAAACAAAATTCTACGTGAGATTAACCTGCAGCGCAAACACTTTTTGACCACCAAATCCCGTATGCAAAACAAACGAAGTAAAAACGAAATGATGTATGAAAGAAAAAAAATTTGAGAATTAAGAAAGACAATTATCTAGCCTTTAAACTCTGAACAACAAACAAAACTGTTGAGCCGCTTCAGCATAAACTGAAACACCTTGGGGTGGTATATCGCAAGGTTCTTTACACACTGAATAAGCATAAACCCAACAAAAAATACCCAAATTACCGTCTATCAAGCACCCAATTCTGAGCCTGGCAACCCAATTAAGATGACAAAAAACTACGACACAAAAAACAAAGCAAGCAACAAACTATGGAACTCCTACTAAAAATCAAGACATCAAAACTACTAGTCCTAAGATAAATTGTTAATGCTGAAATCCGAGGATGAACCACCATGGTTCACTTTTTCTTCGCAGCAGACTTGGTCACCTTGGCACCACTTGGATCCTTCTTTTCCACACTCTTGATGACTCCAACTGCCACTGTTTGACGCATGTCCCTAACAGCAAACCTACCTAGCGGAGGGTACTCGGAGAAAGTCTCAACAACCATAGGCTTGGTGGGAACCATTTTCACCATCCCTGCATCACCATTCTTCAGGAACTTGGGCTCTTTCTCAAGCTCTTTACCTGATCGCCTATCAATCTTGGTCAAGAGCTCAGAAAACTTCACAGCAATGTGTGAAGTGTGGCAGTCAAGCACTGGAGCATAACCGTTACCAATCTGGCCAGGGTGGTTCATGATGATAACCTGAGATGTGAAGTTAGCAGCTTCCTTGGCGGGATCATCCTTGGAGTTAGAAGCAACATAACCACGCTTCAAATCCTTGACAGCAACATTCTTCACGTTAAAACCAACATTATCTCCAGGAACAGCCTCCGGAAGAGCTTCATGGTGCATCTCCACGGACTTAACTTCAGTTTGTAGTCCAGAGGGGCCAAAGGTCACGACCATACCAGGCTTGAGAACACCAGTTTCAACACGACCTACTGGCACAGTTCCAATACCACCAATCTTATAGACATCTTGAAGTGGTAATCGTAGAGGCTTATCAGTGGGCCTCTTGGGCTCATTGATCTGGTCCAGAGCCTCAAGGAGGGTGGGACCCTTGTACCAATCAAGATTGGTGGATCTCTCAATCATGTTGTCCCCCTCAAATCCAGAAATTGGAACAAAAGGAATCTTTTCAGGGTTGTAACCCACCTTCTTCAAATAGGATGAAACTTCCTTGACAATTTCATCAAACCTGGCCTTAGAGTACTTCGGGGTTGTTGCATCCATCTGCAAAATGCATGAACCACAAATACTTTTAACACAAAACAATAAAAGATCCATCTTTGGCACCAACAAAATAAACAGAGACAATCAACAATACCAACGAAAATCCTATTACCTTGTTGCAACAACAAATCATTTGCTTGACACCAAGAGTGAAAGCAAGGAGAGCATGCTCACGGGTTTGGCCATCCTTGGAGATTCCAGCCTCAAAACCTCCAGTGGTGGAATCAATAATCAAGACAGCACAATCTGCCTGACTGGTTCCAGTGATCATGTTCTTAATAAAATCACGGTGACCAGGTGCATCAATCACAGTGCAGTAGTATTTGGTGGTCTCAAACTTCCACAAGGCAATGTCAATAGTGATTCCACGTTCACGCTCTGCCTTCAACTTGTCCAACACCCACGCGTACTTGAATGAACGCTTGTTCATCTCAGCAGCTTCTTTCTCAAACCTTTCGATCACACGCTTGTCAATGCCTCCAAGCTTGTAAATCAGATGACCAGTGGTCGTCGACTTTCCAGAGTCGACGTGGCCAATCACAACAATGTTAATGTGAACCTTCTCTTTACCCATTGTTACAAAAACGCACAAAGAAACTGCACCAAACAGAACCACCGCCGTTAATTCCAAAAAAAAAAAAAAAAATTCCAAACCATTTACATGACACAACAAAATTAACCTTCGAGCAAAATTCATTAATCTTCAAGATATCAGATTGAACAGAACAACATTTACAAAATCATAAATCAGAAATTGATGTTAACATTATTCAATGTAGCATGAAGATTCTGAAAATTCAGAAACATTCTATGTTTTTTTTTTTTAAAAAAAAAAAAAAATATCAATCGAAACCTTGTTCTGGCAATTGAAGAAGTAACAGAACAACAACAATGAAGGAAAAAAGAGAAAGGAAGGAGAGGCTTCACCTCAGAATGGAGAGGCCTCGAAGAAACCCTAATCGCAAAGAATAGAAGAGAGGCCTGAAACTGCGAATGAAGAGAAAGGTTAGTGCAGCACTGATACTTATAGCATAACAGTCTTTGTGTTGTGAGACTGAGCTCCGTTTGATTCTTGTTTTTTAAAACAGTTTTTTAATTTATTTTTTTAAAAAAAAAAAACTAAAAAACTTGTTTGAAAAGACCTATTTTATAAAAAATATTTTGAAAATTATAACTATTTTTTTATTTTTAGAATCAAATTTAAAAAATATATCTGAGTTGTTTTTATTTTTTGTTTTTGTTTTTAACTTCAAAAATAAAAAATTATAAAAAATAACTGTTTCCATAATTAATTTATAAAATAACTTTAAAAACGAAAAAAACCATAACATAATCAAACAGAATCTAAATTCGAATTTAGGGTTTTCTAATAACGATGTTCTAAGATAGTTGCGGCGCAGGACTTGCGTGGACCCCCAACGAAATCTCTGAGGTGGGTGATTTGATTTCCCTAATGATACTCCTAATTACGATTTTTTTCTTTATAATCTCTTGTCATTATTTTTTATTATTGAATTAAAATAAATTAACAATTATAAAAGAATATCAAATGAGAGAAATTAATTCAATAATAATTCAGTTATTGTAGAAAAATAAAATTATAAGTACAACCTATTTCTAAATAATAATGTTATTTTATTCTCTTAACTTATTGGTTAAGACTTATTTTTACACTGTGTAAGGGTCTTTTGTTATTAACGGAACAGAGTGCACTAAATAAGAGTGAGCCGAAATGAAAAAAAAAAAAATTGATTTGTAGAATAATGGCAAAAAAATTAATTTATTGTTTTTTTAATAAAAATTACGAATAAATAATCGTTTTGAAATTAATTACGAAAATATAGCAGTCAAACACGCCCTATAAGGCGTGACCAGTCGGAGAGAGACACGCCCAATGTTGGACGTGACCTAAGCATGACTCACGCCCACATGGGGCGTGACCAATTTGGAGAGAGACACGCCCAATGTTGTGCGTGTTTCACCAGGTGCTGCCACGTGTCACAAAAGTCAATAATTTGACCGTAAAACTTTGGAAGTCCATAACTTTTGACTCGGGTATCCGAATTAGGTAATTTTTTTTTTGATTCCACATAACTTTTCGAGATCTACGTAATGACACCTAATTTGACCTATTTTGTCTCTCACAAAAAAATTTGAATTTACAACAATGATACCATAATTATTAAAAATGACATGACTTTGTTACCTTATAATTATTACTAAAAATAATCTAACATTTTTATAATCATGAACAAAAAACTTAAAAATAAAAATAAAACGAAAAGCACTCACTTAACTTTTTAATATAAACTATTCGATATTCTGTCACCGACAAATGTTAACTTTTATTAATTATAAATTTCATAAAATTCTTCATTCAAAATTTTAATATATATCTCAATAACATACATAATTAACCTTATCATAACTTACCATAATCATAAGGATCTTTATTATGAATGTTTCTAATCATAACAGTGGTTTTCTGTCCATTAATTTTTGTTTGAACGTTTTTATGGTATCATTATTGTAAATTCAATTTTTTTGTAAGAGACAAAATATGTCAAATGATGTGTCATTACGTAGATCTCGAAAAGTTATATGGATTCAAAAAAAAATTACCTAATTTGGATACCCGAGTCAAAAGTTATGGACTTTCAAAGTTTTACGGTCAAACTGTTGGTTTTTGTGCCACGTGGCAGCATCTGGTGAAACACGCCCAACATTGGGCGTGTCTCTCTCCTCGGTCACGCCCAACATTGGGTGTGTGTCTCCAAGTGATCACGTCCTTATGGGGCGTGTTCAAAACGACAATTCAAACATATTCTCTAAATTTGATTCTAAAAATAAAAAATTAGTTATAATTTTCAAAATATTTTTTATAAAATAGATCTTTTCAAACAAGTTTTTTAGTTTTTTTTTTTTAAAAAAAAAAATTAAAAAACTGTTTTAAAAAACAAGAATCAAACGGAGCTCAGTCTCACAACGCAAAGACTGTTATGCTATAAGTATCAGTGCTGCACTAACCTTTCTCTTCATTCGCAGTTTCAGGCCTCTCTTCTATTCTCTGCGGTTAGGGTTTCTTCGAGGCCTCTCCATTCTGAGGTGAAGCCTCTCCTTCCTTTCTCTTTTTTCCTTCATTGTTGTTGTTCTGTTACTTCTTCAATTGCCAGAACAAGGTTTCGATTGATATCTTTTTTTTTTAAAAAAAAAAAAAAACATAGAATGTTTCTGAATTTTCAGAATCTTCATGCTACATTGAATAAGTTAACATCAATTTCTGATTTCTGATTTTGTAAATGTTGTTCTGTTCAATCTTATATCTTGAAGATTAATGAATTTTGCTCGAAGGTTAATTTTGTTGTGTCATCATGTAAATGGTTTGGAATTTTTGTTTTTTTTTTTTGGGAATTAGCGACGGTGGTTCTGTTTGGTGCAGTTTCTTTGTGCGTTTTTGTAACAATGGGTAAAGAGAAGGTTCACATTAACATTGTTGTGATTGGCCATGTCGACTCTGGAAAGTCGACGACCACTGGTCATCTGATTTACAAGCTTGGAGGCATTGACAAGCGTGTGATCGAAAGGTTTGAGAAAGAAGCTGCTGAGATGAACAAGCGTTCATTCAAGTACGCGTGGGTGTTGGACAAGTTGAAGGCAGAGCGTGAACGTGGAATCACTATTGACATTGCCTTGTGGAAGTTTGAGACCACCAAATACTACTGCACTGTGATTGATGCACCTGGAACCAGTCAGGCAGATTGTGCTGTCTTGATTATTGATTCCACCACCGGAGGTTTTGAGGCTGGAATCTCCAAGGATGGCCAAACCCGTGAGCATGCTCTTCTTGCTTTCACTCTTGGTGTCAAGCAAATGATTTGTTGTTGTTGAAAACAGACTTTAAACAAGCCCTACCTACTATTTTTTTCCTTATTTGAAACATTAATAAAGGAATATTTTTTATTATTTTATTTCTTATCATTATTATAATGTCTTACTAAAATTGTACTGAATCTTTTTTTTTATATATACAAAATTGTACTGAATCTATTGATATGTGTCACCGGAGTGGATGAATCTTTTTAAAGATTTAATTCTGAGTTTAATCTCAACGTTCATGCGTATAAGAAAAAATATCTTTTCAAAATCATATTTTTAAAGATGAAATTATATTAACATGTGTTCATTGAAGTGGATAAATCTCTTAAAGATTGCATTCTGAATTTAATCTCAACATTCATGCGTATAAAAAAATTATCTTTTAAAAATTCATATTTTTAAAGAGGAAATTATATTAACATGTGTTTTGGAGTGGATAAATCTTAAAGATTTGATTCTGAATTTAATCTCAACATTCAAGCGTATAAAAAAAAAATCTTTTAAAATTTCATATTTTTAAAGATAAATTTATATTATCATGTGTTCATTGGAGTTGATAAATCTTAAAGATTTGGTTCTGAATTTAATCTCAACATTCATGCGTACAAAAAAATATCTTTAAAAAATTCATATTTTTAATGCTTCAACTTATTTAACATATTAGGGCATGTTTGATTTTATTCTTTCTTTTTTTTTAAACTATTTCGTAGAGTAGTTAATGAAATAAATATTTTTTTGTTTTTTATTTTTAAAGTTAAAAGTCAAAACACAAAATAAAAATAACTTACATATATTCTCTAAATTTGATTCTAAAAACTAAAAAATAGTTATAATTTTTAGAACTATTTTTACAAGACACACCTTATCAAACATGTTTTTTTTTTCTAAAAATTAAAAAATTATTTTAAAAAAGAAATTTCAAGTATACTCTCAGGACCTGTTTGATTGTATTCTTATTTTTTTTATTCTTAAAGTTGTTTTATATAATAGTTAATAAAATATGTATTTTCTGTGTTTTGTTTGTTTTGAAAGTTAAAAGTCAAAACACAAAATAAAAATAACTCAGATATGTTCTATAAATTTGATTATAAAAACTAAAAAATAATTATAATTTTTAGAACCATTTTTACAAAACAAACATTATCAAACAATTATTTTTTATTTTGAAAATCAAAAATTTATTTTTGAGAACTGAATTCTAGCATGCCCGCGGTTCATTTTGTTACGAATACTACGAAAATACAAAGAACACGTTATAAGGTAGTACGATAATACATAAATTAATTTTGGGAAAAATATTTTTTTTAAAGGACATGTATTGTGTCAATTTAAGTGAAATGAAGACACAACTTAGTATTTTTAATATAAAATTTAAATTTATAAAAGAAATCACTCACTTTTTCTCCCATATTTTTTATTACTTGTATATTTCATTCATTTAAAATGACATAATTTTATATCATTTGAAATGATAAACACTAAACCCGTTATCTTTTTTTTAGTAAAACATTGTTAGAGACTTTTATCAGTTGATAGTACAATCTGCCATAGAACAAATTTTTCTGGAAAAAATCTTTCATGCCATGGATGTGGTGGCGGATTCAGAATTTTTTGTTTATGTCCGCACACTTAGTGATGGAGATTGTGGAGTAGTGCCCTCGAATTAAAAAAAAAAAATCTTAAATGCATTAAAAAACACTTGTAACTGTACCAAAATAAGAACCCCAACAAGTATCTCCAGGTCGCCTTAAGTTATCTCTTGATTTAAACATTTTTTGATTGGTATTTTATGGCAAGCAATTCTTTTAAGTATTTGTTCATGTTGATTCATTTGAAGAATTTCCTTCTACTTCCATAAACCTCCCACAATGGTAGCCACTTAGTATAATATAAAATTGTTATATTTCTCATCCAAAAAAGGACAAAATGATTTTTGTAATTAACTCATAAGGTACGAAAAAATATTGGGAGAGGAATGTGTCATTTCTTTAATTTTTTTTTTCTTTTTGAAAACAAGGGAAAAAATGACACGTTCTTAAAACCAAAACAATACACATGGCTATGGTCATTTTTGTTAGTACCTTCGTAATAGTAGTTTCAATGCGTTCGTGCTTCCCCAACTGCGAGACCATGGTTCTAAATAAGGAAAACCAAATGGGATTTAATTACCCGCAATTCAGCATCTTCGCGGACAAAAAAAGAAGCTTTGAATTGAAATTATAAACCTGAGCATGGACATGCGATGGGTCGACCCAACTTCTCGAACTTGGTCATTTTCGCATATGCAGATACAAAGGCAAAACCAAGAACTCTAGCTTTCTTTAATTTTAAAAGCTTTACAAATGAATCATTATGTTGGTCAGGTGGTGTTGGACAAAGCAAAGCATCCATAAAAAAAAATTCATCAAATATTTTTTCAAAACTTCATGTCCGCACTTGCGATCATTGGAGCATGACTAGGTCCGCCAGTGCACGGATGTATGGTATACATGTCCAAAAAGAAAAAAGTTAATATGGACCGGGTGCAGAAGTACATTTATCAAAAGTGAAAAAAAATCAGGACATGAAAGAAAATAAGTAAAATGACATGGATAAAAATATCACAAAAAAATTCTATTTTTGGAAAGTGGAACACCTAATAAAGATGCACTCGGTCCATATTAACTTTTCTCGTCCAAAAGAAGAAACTTTTTAGAGACTTGCATAAAATAGAAAAAAAAAAGTAGAATGGATTTTTTTCTTCTTCCAGAATTGGAAAAAGGAAATACCAATGGGCTGCACTCAAGTTTTGCTTATTTTCCATAATGTATATAACACAAAACATTTAGGCATGTTTTCCAACTTCCCTTGAGAAAAAATTGTACAGTATTAACTGAAATTGAGATATAAAATATCTAACAGTTTGGAGTCTTAAAGGAGAGGAGAAAAAACATTATAAAATATGATAACAGAAAAATATTTCTGTAATTATTGCAGATAAGTTATCCGCATTTATTCTCAAAATAACAACATTTTGAGATTAAAAAATTAAAAAAGTATAATTATGAAGACTATAATAACTCTGAAATAAATTAAAATTTCAAAATACCATGATTTTCACCCAAAAACGACGTCATATTGAACTTACTGCAAATAATCTATCTACAGTGATTACAGAAAAAACAAACGAAGAAAATGATATTGGAGAGCCGTACCAATAATGGATATGATAGTATTCAAACTAAATTAATCGGATAATTAATAATTCGGTAGATATATTTAAAAAAAATATAAAATAAAAAACTCCATCGCCTGTAATTAAAAACTTATCTTATTATTATATGTGTGAAGAAATTGTTTGAAAAAAAAAATATCGCGTTAGACCATGTAACTAACATGTACTTGAAATTATTCGTGTTAAATAGCTTTTGAATATTTAATAAATATAATTAGATTTTTTATTTTTATATTAATTATGAGTATTATTTTTTATTTTACTTTTTTATTTTTATACTTTGAACATACTTTTAGCTTGAAATATCATCAAGCTCGAACATTTTTTCTGAAATGGTAAATAAAGAGAAAATATAAATAAATAAAGGCTCTCTTGCAACATAAAATTTTCAAAAAAACATAATGTACTTTTGTTTTCTCAAACTCAAAATGACTCGTACTAGGATTTGGGGAATAATAGGGAAAAATATTTGTCTTTTTAAAGGATATGACTTTATGTTATTTTAAATCATAACCATTGATTTTCGTCAATCAACGGTTAGAATTTATTGGGTTAAACTTGTTAATTAATTAGTAATTCGTAATAAAATCAATAAATCTTAACCGTTGATTGACGAAGATCAACGATTAAGATCTAAAATGACACAAAGTTATATTCTTTAAAAGAACAAATATTTTTCCGATTTTATTTTAATACCCAAGTAACTTTTTTATTTAAATTTTTGTTTATGTATTTCATTCGGACATAAAATAATTTTAACTTTTCAAAAAAATTCTTCTTCAAAAGCAAATTATAAAATGCTTGAAAATGAATCTCTAATGTTAAATAAAATATGTCATGGTCATGTGAAAAAATTACAACCATACAAACATGAATCGACGGTTATGGATTGTAACTACTTATTTTAATATATTTTTTTTCTTCCTTTATTATTATTGATCTACCTTTGTATGATTATAATTCCCTACATGACCATATCATTTTTTTTAACATAAAAAGATGTAGATACAAAAACTTTTTATTTCAAAATCCATCCAAATCAACTGTTATTTGGATTGTAATTGACCTTTCATGGAAGATGGCGAGTGGGAAGGGGACATAGTGACTAGTGATCGTTCTCCATGTGATCCCTTCTCCTTCCTCAGTCCCACATAACCATAAACAATCCAGAAATAAAAATTCAAGTAGAAAAGATCATCATTCCAAATTTTGTGGAGCACAATAAAATTCAGAGAGGAAGTGACAAAGACTTACCCTAATTAAATCAAAACCATTAATTTTTTCTCAAAGTAAATATTTATTTGATATTTTAAATATATATGTTTCATCAAATTAATATTATGTTCATGAATATATTAAAATGATCTTTAAATATCAATTTATGTCATTAAATTTATTCTTGCAGTGATATTAAAGTAGTCCTTAAAATTAATAATACTAACTACGAATGAATTTTAGTGTAACATGTAAATGAACCACTAAAGTTAAGTTGAAGAGCAACATAAATATTTATTTATTTTTTTGTTATTATTATTATTTGATAAATCTTATATTTATAAAAAATTTGTTTACAAACTATACTATGTCTTACTAGTAAGACACTCTTGAGTGAAGTCTTAGAGGTAAAACATAATGTAGTTTGTAAGTTTGTAAAAAAAAATTATCATGAAATTGTAATGACCCAAAATTATTTGAAAATAAATAAAATTTTAGAAAAAATTGGAAAACCAATTTTATTTAAATGGAAAAAATTGGAAAACATTTTGTTGCAAATTGATCTTTTTAAATTTTAGATCAA